TAGTACGGCGCCAATGTGTCAAGCGATCTCGGGTAATCTCGGGTAATCTCGGGTAATCTCGGGTAATCTCGGGTAATCTCGGGTAATCTCGGGTAATCTCGGGTAATCTCGGGTAATCTCGAGCTGCTGCGCTCCGAGGCGGACGCGTGGACGCTCTGCATGGGGTTGCCGGCCCCTAGAAGCGGAATATCTCCCCATATCTCCCCATATCTCCCCATATCTCCCCATATCTCGGGCCCCTCGAAGCGGAAGACGCACTCTTGTGACCAACTTCGCGCTCGAGAGAGAGAGGGCCGCGTGCTCAGCTGCGTCCCGCTGTACCCAGCTCTATTCAGCCGTAGTCAGACGTAGTCAGCGGTCTTCGCCCCCCCCCCTCGTACTCACGCGGGGCTCGGAGTATTCTGCACGAGACCGAACTCCCGCCCCCCGGACGGCATGAGGTTACCCCCGAGATTACCCGAGATACCCCGAGATTACCCGAGATACCCCGAGATTACCCGAGATACCCCGAGATTACCCGAGATACCCCGAGATTACCCGAGATTACCCGAGATCACCCGAGAGTAGGCTGCCCGCCCTGGACGGCATGAGCGAGGAGCAGCTCGCCGCGGAGATCGAGGGGCTGCGCGAAAGGCCGCCTGCTGCCGGCGCTGCCGGCACTGCCGGCGGGGAGGGGGCGCCGCTGCCTGCCGAGGCCGCTGCAATCTCCGGAAGGCCGGCGCTCGAGGCGGCGCTGTTGCGCGCCCGCGCGGACCGGTGGCGCAGGGTGGGCTACTCGTAGCGCTTATGGCTCTACTAACTAGCGGTATGTCGTATGTGCGGCCCGGGGGGGCGGCGCCAGGTGGTTTCATGAAAGCGCTTGAGCGCGCATGCTCTGACGACTGACCTTTTTCCTGCCGCATAGAAGAGAATCAACTTTTGTGTGTGTCCTCGCGCTGCGCCTGCGCCGTGTGCTGCGATCACGATGTGCGAAGCGGCAAGCTTGCACGACCATCACAGTGTAAAACACGCACCCGGACCCGCGCGCCGCGGCGTAGGTCGCACCCGCGGCGCAATATTCCACAATAATGCGCACTGATAGAGAGGAAGATGGAGCATGTAGAACATGCGGAGTTCAGCCGCCACTCCTTACCGCCACTCCCCCAGCTCGAGCACCGCGCGCGACGTCCGGAAACCAACCGAAGACGCCGCGGCGGCTCGGCTGGGACTGGCATCACCGGCATCAGGCCTGATGAGGGAGGTTGAGCCGTCTCAGGAGGTGTGGGCAGCCCGGCTGGCGGAGCGCTCTCGCCTGTGAGTCCCGTGTGTTGCTCCCGTGTGTTGCTCCCGTGTGTTGCTCCCGTGTGTTGCTCCCGTGTGTAGCTCCCGTGTGTTGCTCCCGTGTGTTGCTCCCGTGTGGCCGCCGGCTCTGACTCTCGTTCTCGCTAGCGTCCCTACTCTCTTAGCAGCGCCAGGCTGTCTCTCCCATCGCCTGCAGCATCTCCCCATCTCTCCCCATCTCCCCATCTCTCCCCATCTCTCCCCATCTCTCCCCATCTCTCCCCATCTCTCCCCGTCTCTCCCCCTCTCTCCTGGGCAGGGGCATGGGCAGGGAAATGGGCAGAGATGGGCAGAGAGTCCGACTCTAGCAGCGCCAGCCCTGCGTGCTGAATACGCCAACCTCAGGGCACGAATACGGTACTGTGCAGCTTACTCAGAGCACCCGCTGAAGACAACGGAGAGGAATGCGGGTGAGTACAGCGGAACACGTGGCCCTCTCGAGCGCTA